CAGTGTAGTTCACTAAAATTTGAACAATTCTGTTTTTCTAAGTAATGTAAAATATCAGTGATAGTGTACTTATTCTAAAATCAGGCGTTCTTTCCTACAGGCACTGTACATAGTCCAGACTGAACTCAAAATACACGTATCAGAGTACCTGGTGTCATCTTCAAGTGCAATTTTGTTATTCCGTAATCAACACTTTGAAACTTCATTTGTTGAAGACTACTTAGTTAATTCGACAGTGTTTACAATTATCCTCGTGCATTTGAAATGGATTACTTTCTGGCAGTTATTGATGGGATGTAGATTATAATATGTGGTGTTTTGGGACTTGCTGAAAGTTAATAAAATTTGATATTTTTGTGATTGACATGGGGAAAACTCTGCAGCCGATTCAAATTATAATGATTATAATAAATATATATGTATAATAAATATACATTTTGTATTTTTAATTTAAAAATTCTTTAATAAAGCCTTTTAGAAATATTCAATGAAGTTTTGATATTAAATTGTCAGCTGAATATTTTTTCTTAATAATTTTGAAGATTAAAAGTTTGTTATCTATGTGTACATTATAAATTATGTGTCATTCTGATTGAATTGTTGAGACTAATCAAATCTATTCAATTCTATCTCCTACATTATTTGTGTAAATTAAGTACATGTACATCGCACAGTGTCCATTGTATTGTATAATTAAATACATATCCCAACGTTCAGTGGCTTTATGGAAAATAATTGATATTGGTTACATATTTTGAAAATTTTGACAATTATGCGCATTTAAAAACATATACGTTTTGCGCCTAAATTTACTACAGTGTTTTGTTTTTCGGCAGGTACAAATTATACTTATGATGTGTTTAGATATTAAACACATCTGCTTTTATGTGTTTAGAATTTAAACACTTGTGTTTATGTGTTTAGATATGCTTAATTTCTAAGCACACAAGTGTTTAAATTCTAAACACTTTCTAAGACATGTTTAGGAATTTTACATGCATATAAAAAAGGAGGTGACAAGAAAGTGTTTAGAAAAGTGTTTGAATTGTAAACACATTTTTTACAGTGTACGTCTAACACATAATCAAGTTTTTCCTCCAGTATTTTTTATTCAAATAAATTAGCGGAACAAACACAGTCTCATTTCATCTTGCACATTAAAAATTTGTGACAACAAAAGAGCAAAATACAGCGCATGGTCAATTATTTCACCTTTCTGCACTCAAAAAAATGTCATTTTTCTGGCATTAAAAATTTAACAAGCAATAAAATCGTTTGAAAGTAATGGCATTTTACCGAATTTAAGCAGAATGGTTTGAATTATCATATATATTTAGACAAGAAAATTAAAAGTGGGGGTCTGTGATGTTAATTTTTAGATATTACTAATAAAATGTTAATTTTTAGATTAAATTGGGGCTATTTTTCCTGGACTTTCACAATATATTTGCTATATTTGTCAAATGTGATGATAGAATTCATAACAATTAATTTAATATGTAATTTAAGACCAGTATAAAACATTTCACTGCACATAATAGCTGCGTGCATGCTGAATTGATAAATAGGATTCAAATTTAACAATACTGTAAATACTTTGAAAGAGAAAAATTGATCATTTTCTTCTAAAAAAAAAAAAAAAAAAAAAAAAAAAAAAAAAAAAACAAACAAACAAACAAACAAACAAACAAACCTCTGACAAAAAATATAGTTAATGCTTTTGGTACGGGATTCAATCATGAGGTTTTAATTTAATATAGTTTGATTTGCATTGGAGAATCCAAATTTATCATAAGAACTAAAACATGTAAAACACTACGCAGATTTATTTCAAATAGAGGTCAAGACAAAAATCCGCTCAAAAGCTAGTCTACACACATGATAACAAAAGATTATCTATTGTCGGTGACATTGTTTATTTAGTCATCATTTTCTACTATAATTGTATCTTTTTGTTAGGAAAGCTATGCTCAATTTACTGAAGAAAGTTAGATGTTTAGATTTGCCTTTAGACATTCAGCTGAAATTATTTGGCAGTATGTACCTACTTTAAAATTGTGATGTGTGGGGCTTCCCATAACAATAACTTACAGTAAATTATAAAAATTCATTTTAACAGTTTTACAAGATATTTTTAAATCTAAACAGGATGTGTAAGGACCTTGATGGTCATCTGAGTATGAAACAACCCTGTACGGTATCCATAAAATGGTATTTGATAATTACATAATGAAACATAAATCTGATGGATATGTTGCTCAGAAAAGTGAAATAAGACGATCAGAGATCAACACAATTCAGCAACAACTCAGAAAGTATATCTATATATTTGCTTGTATGTGCTACATGTGCAAGTATACATAACACACTATATCACTATCGATCATCAGATTAACAACACAATTGTGTACAAGCATAAAATAATTATACACAAAGAAGATCCAGCACAATTCATGCTATACTGATCTGTAGCTCTTTGTCTTTGAATAATGTACTAATATAAAGTGTTATGCCTAATTTTTATTCAAATATTAAATTATGTTAATATTCAAAGTTATTTATTGTCATATGAGAAAAACATTAATGAGGAATAACATCTATCATGATCAATAACTATCTGTCCAGCACCAGAATCCCTAACCCAATGGTAATGAAGGAAAAGGCGAAGAACTGCAATCGATCTCAAAACCAGAAGTTCTGTTTTCAGCACACACTACTGGTGTGTACTTATAATAAAGGAAGACCAATCTTAGTATAGTCTTCATGTGTAAAAAAAAGTCTAATCAGACCAAAACTGTAGAAGGAATAGCGTTTTAAAAGAATTTGAAGAAATTTCAATTCTTAGTAAGCATATGGCAACACCGTTTGTCGAAAAAAAATAAATAAAAAGAATTATGTATCTTAGTATAGTCTACTTGTGTACCAAGTCTTATTGAAATTTGACAACAACTGTAGGAGCTAGAGAAGCGTTTTAAAAGAATTCTTTGAAAAAATTTAAGAAATTCGAAATCAAAAACCGATAAACAGAATTAAGTACCTTATTATAGTCTATAGACTTGTGTACCAAGTCTTATTGAAATTGGACTAAAACTGTGAGAGGATAGCATTAAAACAAGAATTTCAAAGAAATTTCTATTTTTAGAAACCATGGCAACACTGTTTGATAAAAATAAAAAACCGATAAACATAATTACGGTATGTACCTTAGTATAGTCTACTTGTGTACGAACTCTGACTGAAAATGGATCAAAACGGTAAGCAGAGTAGCGTTTTAAAAGAATTTCAAAGAATTTTCTATTTTTCATGAGGATGGCAACACCATTTGTCGAAATAAAAAAAGATATATATAGAATAATTTATCTTTGTGTCTACTTGTGTGACCAAGTCTTATCGAAATTTGACCAAATCTGTGAAAGTAGTAGCGTTTAAAAAGAATTTCAAAGAACTATTTTTCATAACCATGGCAACACCATCTTTGAAATCCAAAACTGATACACTGTGTATACAGAATCATTCATCTTACTAAAGTCTACTTATATACCAAGTCTTATTGAAAATTGACAAAATTTTTTGAGAAGTAGCATTTAAAAAAAAATTAAAAAGAAATGTTCATTTCTAGTAACCATGGCAATAATGTCAAAATCAAAAACTGATAAACAGAATTATGCATCTCAATAAATTCTACTTGTGTATACCAAGTCTTATTGAAATTGGACCATAGCTGAAAGAGGAGTAGCATTTTGAAAAATTATTTACAGACGGATGGACGACAGACACCTTACCAATGCATACATGTAACCTCTTCTGGTGTCTGACCAGTAGAGCTAAAAACCTATGAATAGTATAAATCTGTGTACAGGGCTTAAAATGCAGACCTCTGGAAACCCCAGGTGGGATCAGGTACCTAGAAAGAGTAAGCATCCCCTGTACCCATCACACCTGCCTCAAGTCCTATGTACTATTTATCAGGTAGACAATTTCACGAATTTGGAACAAAAGACCTTGCTCATAACAGAATTGTACTTTGTTTGCATCCTACATGTCCTAGATTCCCACAAAATATTCTTAAAGTTTAAGAAAAAAATCATTTTCACTATATCATCAATAGAGCCCTACCTTAACACCACACCATGACCCAGGGCCATTAATTTCATTATTTGAGAAGAACCCTTTCACAACATAGCCATGCACTTTGTTTGTCTTCTTTATTTCCTGGGAACAAAGAAGATTTTAAAGAATAAATACATTTTCATTACATGATCATAAGAACCCTGCTCTTATGCCAGAACCCTTGACCAAAGGTTATCAATTTAACAATTATGGAAGAAGCACCCTTGCTCATCATAGCCATTCATTTATTTTGTTTGCTAAAAACCCAGCGAAAGAGAATATTTTCAATGAATTGATAGACTTTCATTATACGATCAATTGAGCCCTGTCTAAACACCTGAGAACCCCCTGACCCAGGGGCCTTCAATTTCACAATTTTTGAAGAGGTAGTTTGTCTGATAAATACCCAGGAGCAGAGGAGATTTTAAGGAATTAATGCATTTTCACTATTTGATCAATAGAGCTTGGCCTTAACACCAAAACCCTGACCCAAACCAAAGGTAATGAACTTCATATAATTAAGGAAGAGTTTGTCTGCTAAATACCTCGGAGCAGAGATTTTCAAAAAATAATTAATGCATTTCCACTAAATGATTGATAGAACCCCACCCAGACACCCACAACCTTTGACCCTGTTTTGTACAACATTTGAAAGAGGCACCCTTGCTCACCATATTTAAGTACTTACATTGTTACTTAAAATACAGGGGTGGGGAGTTTTTTAAAAGAATTTTTGCATTTTTACTACATGATCAATAAAGCCGCACTCTAACACAAGAACCCTGACGCCATGAATAGAGGGGCCATTGAATGCCCATTATAAGCATGCCAACAATTTGACTGCTTGATGTCCAAAAAGGTTTGCTGGCCCTCTCTTGACTCAGGATCATATTCATTTCATAATATTACTGTCTATCATGTTTTCTTTCAATTCATAATTTATTGATTTTCATGACAGAAAACCTTGCAATTTTTACATTTGAAAAAAATATGCATGTGAGTCTTCAAATTTTACTGGAATTCTTTATCCTCCACACCTCTTCGTTGTCTTTGGTATCTTGTTCTGAAAATAGTTCAAAATATAAAATGTTCATCAGTCACCACTATTGTAGTGGATATCATTTTTTCAAAAAATCCACCACAAAACACAATATAATCCTTGCAAAATTATGTCATTCACACAGCAGGTTTTCAAAAAATTTTGATATGTTGTGCTTGACATGATGAATACAAATGAGTCCTGGTCTTATGAGCTTTTGAGCCTTTCATAAATATACTCCTTCACATGACCACTTTATACATGTATCTTTGTAGTTAGAAAGTATGAAATTCAAAAATCAAGCACTTCCAACAAAACTGTGTCCACAGCTTAGTTTACACCTATTACAGTACTAAATTTGAATTTTTCACCCTAAAATTAACAAGTTGCTTCCTCTTTCCTCTTGACATCATCATCTACATGTATTTAGCAAGTAAAAGACAGAAAGGTCAAGTGATACTCAATTCACAATCATTAATCCAGACTTTTTGACCCACAAATGTAGGGACCTGTTTCCCTTGTCATCTAGGCCTACCACCTCTGTAACATATTTGAAATCAATATGTAAAATGGTACTCTGCATATTGTGACCATGACACTTCAAGGACACACAATAACTTTGACCTTCATCCTTTGATTCTCAATGAATATGCATGTTTCTCTGATCAACTCCCCTTCTCAAGTAAGATTGTGAAAAAAAGGTCAGATGGTACTGTGCTGAACACAGTGTCACTTCAGCTTGACCTTTGGTACTCTCCATGTTGTGGCCACAATAATGGTAAGAAAATAACTCTTTCATTTTGACTTTTTGTCATTCAAATCAATAGTGACTTGTTATCTAATTTTATTCAGCTTTAAGCTCATCACATAATTAGTGTAAATATTTGCAACAAGTAAGTAACCATTTCAATTTACAATAACGTATTAACAAACATTGTGGGGGACTCATAGAAATATGGATGGCCAGATACATTTATTGCTTAGATACTTTTAAGACCTTTTATGACTCTATTCCCTTATAACTGTATTGGTCATACAGATCTATTAAAGTCATTTTTCTTTGATTGCCTTAACTTCTGCTGCATCTGCATTTGAAATTTTTGAATATATACATATTCTTACCAACTCTGTTGTCCTTTATTAACTTATGGAGGTGGCGTTTAACATTACCAGCTGCTGATAATTCTAATTCTGGTGCCAAATCCTACAGATATTACAAAGACATAAAAGAATCTGCAATAAATTATGAGTACATGTTTTTGTAAAGACTAAAAATAGGTTGGTACTGATCAAGTACATGTCATGCAAAATCAAGTTTCTCTATCAAATTCAGTTCATGTGTTTCATAGGTCAGTGCTGAACTTTCTCTGCAATGTTACTTAATTAAGAAATACTGGCAAGAAGTGCTACAGTTACTACAGGATGTGACCCTGGAGAATATTAATTGCTTTGGTGGCACTTGCTACCTTTCTCTATGGTATACCTATAACTGTTTTATTTTTTACCAATACAAATGTTAACCTAACTAGTTAAAAGCTGTCTTCTGCTCAATGTTACCTCAGTCCAAAACACTGCTAGCTGACTGGTTGATTTGTATTTTAAAATTAGAAAGAGTTATTTATCATGTGTTTTATATTTGTACTGTAACTTTATTAAGTAACTTTTAGGAGTGAAATGTGCCAACTTAGACACAGTTCAGATTTAAGTAGATATTGTAAATTTCTTATTTTACAAGAGTACTTAATATATTGCTCAATGAGTCTAAGATTTCAAATTGAAGGAATTAACATTTATAAACTCACCACTAGTCACCAGAGGGCTGCTGATAAAGAGTTTTTATATGCAATTCAACCACACACCAAAAAAAGTAATTTTGATTTGTGAGTGGTGCTTTTCACGAAATTATGTAAATGATAATAAATTTGGGAATCAACAGTATTCCATATCCTTAGCTTGTTACAATAATACTTAATTATTTAAGGTTGACACCATTAGAATTTTAACCAATATACAATGACCATATGCAATTAATATTACCATTGAGTTGATATTTTTACTCTTTGACAGTTTGATTCAATTTAACAGATCTTATACCAGAGCAGTATAAATAAGATTTGCTCTCGAGGAAACAAGAGTGAATTCAAAAGAATCTTGGTGATTTAGAGAATATAAATTACCCTTCTTTGTGGATAGAGAGGTATAATAACATCAAATAAGTGAACAATCACTAACCTCATATACATTTTTCACAATTTCCAGAGGTGTGAAAGACAATGTGGGTTTCGATTCCAAAAACTGAATTATTTGATTCTCCCTCTGTAAACGATGACTGATATAGAACTGTATTTTTTCTACTGGGTTTTCCACAACAGGTCCATGAGATGGATATATCACTAATGGATTCAGATTTGCCATTTTTTGTAATGAATCCATGTAAGTGTGTAGGTCATCAAATACCTTTAAAAAAAGCAGTAAATATCTGTAAATAAAGTCCAAATGTTCAATCAGCAGTTATTTTGTGAAGATACAGAACAGACATCAAGTTATTAATAGGTATACTGGCAGTGGCATTTGATCAACAACAAAAAATTTGTACTAAACAGGAGGGTTCAAACCTATGCATTTTTTGTCTTTTAACACTAAATCATGTAAAGAGAAATGAATATAGTCTACCATACAATTACATAACATATAATGACTTTTTTTTTAAAACTGTATTTAAATTTCTTGTTCACACCTATTGATGAACACTTCATAAAATAATCATATGGTTTAACAATCTAATTAACCTTTTCCTATTCTTCAAAATAAAATGAATGTTTGATTCCTTTATGAATATAAACATGTATTTATCTAATGTATAATCCAAAATGTTGGCAAACAAACCTCAAGCTTAACAAAAAAGCTTGTCAGAATTTGATGTCTAAGAAAATTTTACCAAGATAAATCGGTAAAAGATTAGTTAATGCAGGGATGTAAATACATCCTTGTTATTTTGTTACCGCTGTAGCTTCTCCTAGGACACTGTCTCCAGAAAACAAAACTTTGTCCTCTTCTAAAAACAAACAGATATGGTCATCTGTATGACCTGGGGTAAATACAGTCCTGAAAAAATATATTTACATGTGTAACAGGCAGGAGAAAAATGTAACGGTCCAGACCAGGATTCAAACCAGGTGTGGTATGATATTTGATACTGCAAAATATTGAACCTGGGTGTAATATTTGCATAATATTTTAAACCCCTTGTCTTTTAACTGCATGTGAATGTCTTTAAAAGGGTTCAAAATACTATGGCCTTAATATATATTTTGAGTCATGGGTTCAATAGTGTATAGGGAGGTTAAATATTTAGCAGTGAAATTTTAAATCTGGGTTCAAAATATTGCAGGGTTCATTACATTATATGACAGTGGGCCCCCTGAGTCACTAGTGAGGTGCACTACCAACTAATTAACAGTGCTCTTTAACTAGAATATGAATGTTGATGAGTGGAAACTTTGACGATTTTAAGTCATTTGTCAATTTCGTCATAGTTTCCACATCGTCAAAGTTTCCACTTTTACAGTATACATGTACCTTAGAGTTGCTCCTTCAGTTTTGAACACATGGTTATCTTCTATAAAATGACAAGGAATGCTACCCAAGTCCACCTCTGTCTTCTCTGGGGGTCTTCTGAACTTTGATACTCTTGTTTCATTGGCTGAAAAAATATCATTTTGGGTGAAAAATCACAATAAGATATGAAACTTCTGAAATGGTTTATTTTGACATGATCTTAATTTTTTCAAAGAAACTACTGAAATTTTCAATGAATTCAAGTTACAAAAAATTTGAGTTTCTTTATTCTTTCATCCTGAAGATGCATGCATGCAGCCAAAGAAAATCTGGTAGTTAAGTGCATCTCTAAATGAAATGAATTAAAATAATCTAGGTAATGGCAATTATGGGCCAGGCAAAAGCTTCAATTTAAGTTCCTTGGAAATGGACCTTTTCTAACAGGAACCAGTTGAATCATCTGGAAGATGTAGGTCAGGTCATAGCAGCATCCAAAGCACTGTAAGTCTGATATTGTGCATCCCTATAGATATCATTCGTGCATGTGGCCCGGCCAAGAAGAGCTTATAGTTATGTACTGTATACAGCAGATACCAGTAATATTTGTCCCCATTTTACTTTTGCCCTTGGTGTGAGGGGGCTGATTTTAAATGGGGTAAATTCAAAGAAAACATTTTTTTTAACAGAACTGTGTCTTGGTTAATTTAAAACTTGAAGAAATACCAACAAAAACTACACTTAATTCTGTTAATTTTTCTTTGAATAACAGAAGGATTTTCATCATATGATATCTGTTTAAATCCTTTGGTAATGTATGCTGATTTTTTTTGTCTGAGAACATTTGATGGTACTATGATTGTAAATAAGGAATATCTTGAAAAAACCGTCAGTGAGAAAGGTACATTATAAGATATGTATATATACATGTACTAGGTTGTGTGTAACTTTAAGCCTGTTAAGTGGCCCATCATTTGTACAAGAACATATCTCAATTCTGTTCAACAGTTACTAAAGCATTATCTTAGAATATATATATATATACTTTTCATTATACATGTACAATGTAAATATATTTTCTCTTGATCTGGAAATGTCATGTGCCAATCTGAACAGCATTTTAAGATATTGTTCCTATTGCATGTATTGAGTTATATAATTGAGTATACATTTTCCTATGCATATGATAAGGGGTAAATAGTACATGTAGCTATGATTTTCATCATGCACAGTGATTTTTTTTTAATTACTCACACTTTGTTACATCCCTGCAGACATCAACAGTCCCCCCTACATGATCCAAGTGCCAATGGGTCAAGATTATTTCCTGAATTTTAAGCTGGAAGTCACACAGAACACTCTGGAGATTTTGGATGTAGTTGGGAACACCTGGATCACCAGTATCAATTAAGATTCTCCTGAAATTAATAATACATGTCAGGAATTAATCATACAAGTTACACCCCCCCCCCCCCCCCCCCACACACACACACACATACACAATTTTTAACCCCAAAAGATATACACGAGTTAATCCATATTTTGCATGATAAAAAAAACATATTGTTACAATTTTTCTGGAAGTTTTTATATGGCATCAATCTTCACGGGTTGATAAAGGAAGGTTATGCCCATCCTAACTAAAATCGACACACTTATTCACCTTTAGCAGTTTAGCAGATGATCGAGATACATTGTAATTAAAAAATATCTACCTGTCCCCGGTTCCTACTAAATAAGTATTCGTTCCCTGAAGTGTCATTGGATTTGAGTTGCATCCTAAAATTCTTATAACTCTCTCTGACAATTTTTCAATGTTAGGAATAAACGACAGTTTTGGTAATGCCATGTCTGTTTACTTATGTACAGGGTAACCACGTGACTGTCATGTGTCACAATATCGACGACACCTCGGCCCGTGACGTCTGACACCTCGGCCCTGACAGGTCGGCCCAAAATTATTGACACGTCGGCCCATATAAAAGACACCTCGGCCCAAGCGGAATTTTATGATATAAAAAATTAATCCAGTGTCTGAATTATTATTATTATCAATGTAATTATTCTTTCTGACGGTTAAACGATCGATATTTTAAAAAAGGACATTTTATTGTTTATTCTTATGTCAGTATAAATAATCGTATAAAATAATAGTTTAAGTACGTAAAATAATTGCATTATTGATCTGAACTTCATCGTATGTTTCATCTTGTTCATTGATTTAAAATCATAGTTTAATACAGATAGCTAAAAATAATATTTTTTTTTAAAAATCAGGGCTCGAACTAGTTTTTAATGTAAGTTGAATTCTTAAGAAATAAATGGATGTAAATGTTCTGAATGACTGTCTCACAATTAACTCTCCTCGTAATTATTCCCTCATTGTCACCAATATGACACGCACTGGAGATTTCAAAGGATGCGCCATGGCATCTTGTTTGTTTATCGGTTAGTACTTTCAAAATTATAATTAATTTTTTTTTTATTCCTTGATTATAGTCAATCATGTAGCTTGTGGAAGGTCTTTTTATTACTAAAAATAATCTTGATCATTTACTTTTTTTCGGTCAAAATTTTATTGAAGTCGCAGATTGGAAATATATAATACCTCACAATAAAAATTTGCTTGGGCCGAGGTGTCTTATGTATGGGCCGAGGTGTCTTAAGTTTTGGGCCGACCAGTCGAGGCCGAGGTGTCATTGGGCCGAGATGTCAATGGGCCGAGGTGTCGTTGGGCCGAGGTGTCTGACATTCATTTCGTACATTCATGAATATAAGTTAATTCCTGGATTTGAGGTATCTGTTTAGATACTTAAAATACATATATTCTGAACATGTTGAAGAGTAGTTCTTGCACATACTTTTTCAGTAATGAACCAAAATACGTAAACACAGCATTTTTATTACGCCAAACGGTTACTCACTATAGTGAGGTACAGTACGAGTTACTGAATTTTAAACGCTGCCAAAAATGTCAGCTTCCACGAAGTTGGATTGATTGTTCTTTTCCTTGGTGTTAATTTCCTATTTAAATGTTTATGTCAAACCTTTGACCGATAATTTAGTAAGATAACATTGCAGACATCTCTTTGTAGAAAGATGAGAAAAATTTAAGTCGACTGTTTAGATAATAGTCGACATGTTTCATTTGTTATTCACCGTTATTTTCAAGCTGAAATAATTTAATTCTGGTTGTAACGCTGCATTTGATTGGATAAAAAATTAACTTTATATCGTATAAAATGGGTTGCCTACGTCACAATGACTTGCGTCAAAAACGTATCGATCCGCCTGACGTTACATTCAAATTTTGTACAAATTTAAGTCATATTTAAGGATAATCATCTTTTTTTCTTACACCAAATGAATGAAAATTAAATTATAAGGAATGAATTTAATAGCTACCCAATTTATACGGTATAAACTGGATTGGAACAGTTTACGCTTTTTTATAAACCGTTTCGCGGTTTATAAAGCATAAACTGCCCCAACCCAGTTTATACCGTATAAAATGGGTAGCTATTAAATTCATTCCTTAAATGGAGCTGGGTAGACTTTACTTTACCGGTCCCCAGATCCGCAAGATCCGCGCGCTCATTGCACTATGACGTAAGATTTACGTCACTCAATGATTAGGGTTAGTTTTGCACATTTTTCGACTGGTTATGGTTAGTCTTGTACCCACCTGAAAGAATAGGGTTAGTCCTGGCACAAGTTTTCGACTGATTAGGGATAGTCTCGCATCCATCCGAGAGATTAGGGTTAGTTCTCGCACATGAGTTAGTCTAGCATCCGCCTGGGAGATTTGGTTTAGTCCTCGCATACCATTCGAATGATTAGGGTTAGTGTCTTGTTCTTTTAGATTAATTAAGAAATTCAGTTACATCTCTATTTTTTGCAAGATCTTAATTCAGCTTCAACGTGTTTACATGAAAAAAAAAAATGGCTAAGTACGAAAGAAATGGCACTAAGCATGCACCACACACACTTCGTTGACAATTATTTTTTATCTCCTTTTCACCGAATAAACAATATTTTAAATTATTACTTTTTTTCAGAGAACGAGGTTTAAAACGAAATTTTAAACTAAACTTTTAACCGTAGAATTCGATTTTGGGGTCAAAAAGGCTTTAAACCTCATACTTTTTTTTTTATCACTCACGCGATCTCATATATATTGAAGTCGCCTACGGCGACACTATATTTTAGCGCGTTTTTCTGGAGACCGGTAAAGTTAAGTTGTTACATGGAGCTTATCATTGCATTGTAACAGCATATACCTACCTGTTCATGAAATTTTATACATACCCCTTGTTTTAGAATAGTAAGGATGGACGATGACGATGATGATTTTGGCGACTTTGGTGGATTTGAGGTATTAAATCATCATACGTTTACATGTATGATACTGTTTGCTAATGATTGTAAAAAAGAAACTGATAAATTTCAAAATACTAGAATTCTATAATTAGCCCTTTCTATGTATCTTTCATTTGTATGTATGTATATTACATGTATTTTTATGTAACAGTGGTCAGAAGGTCCATTGGCCCTTGAGAGATAGCTCAATTGGTTGAGCATCTGACTATAGTGTTTCAGGGGGTCCAGGTTCAAGTCCTTGTCTGGTCCATCACACTGATGCCATTCCATACCCTGGAAATGACAGGTGATGGAACTGCCAAGAAAGAGCCAGGGTTCGATGGTGTCTTTTGGGGGAAAAGACCTTTCAGAAGGAATGTGTCAGTCAGACAGGTTTAATAACTGATGGTCAAATAACTTTGTTGGTAGAGCACCTGCCTAGTGATTCAGAAAACCCGGGTTTGAATCTCGTCACATTTAGTGCCGTGCCATGCCCTGGAAGTGACAGGTGATAAACCTGTCAGGGAAGAGCATAAGTTGGTGCCAAGACTTTTAAGGAGAGAAGAATGTGGCAGTCAGATAGGTTCCATACCTGTTGGCCAGTAAGCTCAGTTGGTAGGGCACCTGAAGAGTAATTCAGGGGTTCCAGGTTTGAATCCTGGTCTGGTCCATCGTAATTTCTTCTCACTGGTTACTTTAGTGTCGTGCCATGCCCTGGAAGTGACAGGTAATAAAACTGTCAGGGAAGAGCATGGTTTGGTGACTTTGGGGGCAAAAACCTTTTAGGAGGGAGAAATATGGTGGTTAGGCAGGTTGATAGCTTTTGGCCAGATAGCTCAGTTGGTAGAGCACCTGATTTGTGATTCAGAGAGGCCTGGTCTGTCACATTTTTCTCCTCACTAGTTACAAAAGACTAAAATGCATATGATGTATACATGTATACTACATGATATCACATCTACTATTTCAAAAAAGGTATACATGTATATGATTTTATAAATGCATCTAATAGATAACATGTTTTAAATAAACAAAAGTTGTGGTGTTTACAAAAATTGACATTTTACAGGCAGCTGATCCTGCATTTCCAGTTGTTGATGAAATACAGCCAAGTGTGGAAGCAGGCCCTTCTCCCTGGGCGATATTAGACACAGGTAGGGAGTGTCCTAAAATGTTCATCCCTTTAATCAGATAGCAATGTTAACCACCAGCATTAACAAGTACACATATAAATCAGGAATGCTGTAACAATCGCAATGCTACTGTGGTTCTTATATGAAAGTGCCACATGAGTTATAATTTTCACCATTCGCTGAAACTTAAGGTTATGTTCTTTATTTGAATATTTTCTCAATTGAATTAAAATGACAATAAATAAACCAGTGCTTATGAATCAAAAATATTTTCAAAGGTTCTTTTTAACCTTATAACACTTCAGCTGCTCGGAGTCAGGTTGGAATGCGACCAGACTTATTGTGTGTGCAGAACCAGTTCCCTCCAGTTTTGGATCCTACAGTTCCAACCCAGCTGTCCAATGGAGATGTGTCAAACAATCAGGAACTGGCCACTCCCCCTCAGGAGTTCCCCCCTGCCCTGGACAGTCCCAATAATGTAAATTAAATATAACTGACTTTTCCGATTGACGAAGCTGTTATTTTAAACTGCATACAAAGTAAATCTTGCTCTGCTATTACAAATGAAAACACTGAGGTCATAATTGTGACCTGCAATGCAAATGGGCATTTTTAAGTTGTAATACTGTATAAAGTAATAGAATAGTAAATATATAAAAAGCTAGGCTTTGAGATGAGTTTAATAAATTTGTATTAAGGAGGCTGGGGGTCAACAAATTAACCATCAGATATAACTTAATTTTTTAGATATGATATTTTAAACTGTCAAATATCATTTGGCAAACAAAAATTTCTTATATTTAAGTTTTAAAATTTGATCATTTTTGTATATCTTTATATGGAGCTCTTCTTCTAAAAGAGATCAATATAATCTGAAAATGGCCACAACCACCCAGCCCTCTTAATCCGTTTCCTTTACAAATTAGATGAAATGTTTAATATTGAATGGCATTACCAATTCCCTAGCAGCTGAGGCTTGGAACATGAGTTCCACACACTTTATTTTTAGCTTACCTGAGCCAAAGGCTCAAATGCACTTTTCTGATTGAAAGTTGTTTATTGTCTGTTGTTGTTGTCATTTAAAAATTTTAATATTTTCATCTTTTCCAGAACCATTGGGCCAATTTCAACCAAACATGGCAAATCCTTGGGTTAACAGGATTAAAGTTTGTTCAAATGAAATGCCACATATACTTTATGTGTACCTTTTTCTGTGTGGGATAATTTATGCTATGTACGTGGTCACAAACTTTCCACGAAAATTTGTCCAAACATACTTTAAGTACATTTGAGGCATATATAGGCAATCTAAGAAAACTGAAAAATTTTCTAGATTGAACAGAAAATGTGACTCTGCAGAATTATGACTCCATGGAAAAATGTACATTTACAGTAATAAAGGATAGTGAGAATTGGATGGGGTCAATAAAAAATCTTCTTCTCAAGAACCACTGGGCCAGAATGAATGAAATAAACATTAAAGCTTCATTACATAATGTAGATTTAAATTTGTTCAAATCATGACCCCAGGGGATAGGGTGGGGCAACAATGGGTGATCAAAGTTTTACATAGGAATACAAAGGAAAATTCTTTATAAATCTTCTCCTGAAGAATAGCAAAGCCATGATTAGTCATACATGTATTTATATGGAAGCATCCTCAGGTATTGTATATTCAAGTTTGTACAAATCATAGCCCTTGAAGGGCCACAATGGACTATCAAAGTTTTACACAAGTACATAGGAACATATAGGAAAAAATTTCTCAATAACAGCAAAGTTGTGATTAGTCATATTAATATGGGTGCATTCTCATATAGTGTAGATTTTAATTTGTTCAAATCATGAACCCTTGGGTAGGTTGGGGCCACAATGGGTGATCAAAATTTTAGATAAGAATACATGGGAAAAATCTTTAAAAATCTTCTGCTTGATTTTTCATATTTATATGGAGGCATCCTCAGGTAAAGTCGATTCAAGTTTGTTCAAATCATGAGCCCCTGGGATGGGTTGGGGCTACAATATGTGATCAAAGTTTTTCATAGGAATGTAGGGGGGGGGGGGGATCTGCTGATGAAGAACAGCAGGGCCATATGGACTCAGGTGAGTGTTGTGGCCCATGGGCCATGTGGTTACAAGTGTGTATCATTTTGGAAAAAAAATTGTAGGGGGAATGAATATAGTTTTACAAAATTAAACCCCAAGCAAAGATGATCAATGGCAAGGGTACAATGTGCATGCATGGATCTTTCCAACAACATATATTTTCATCATGTAAATCATGAGCCCCTGGGATGGGTTGGGGCTACAATATGTGATCAAAGTTTTTCATAGGAATGTAGGGGGGGGGGGGGGGGGGGGGATCTGCTGATGAAGAACAGCAGGGCCATATGGACTCAGGTGAGTGTTGTGGCCCATGGGCCATGTGGTTACAAGTGTGTATCATTTTGGAAAAAAAATTGTAGGGGGAATGAATATAGTTTTACAAAATTAAACCCCAAGCAAAGATGATCAATGGCAAGGGTACAATGTGCATGCATGGATCTTTCAAACAACATATATTTTCATCATGTAAGGTCAATGTGTGTGTATGTTTGTAATAAGTTTGTTATATGTTGTATACTGATTACTCCCTTGAAGTGCTTGGATACATGCACATGTACTTATTTTTAGCTATATGGTTATTTTATCTTTTAAAAATATAAACTGTACACTTGTATTTATAGAATGCAGCATCCATAGTAAATGACATTCTGGATGGCAGTTTCAATCGAACAGCTGAGCCTAATTCTCAGAATTCTCATCCAAATGGAGAAGCCAGTGCCCCTGTTGTACCTGACATTCAGGAAACAAATGGTATAGAGACTTCCAAATCTGAAACATTCCAATCCCACAATTCTCAAACAGGAAATAGTGAAGAGCTTTCATTGCCAGTCCAGAGACAAGAGTCTGCTGCTCAAGCAGAACAGAGCAGCACATCCCAGGCATTCCAGGTGCACACCTCTACAACAAAAGATAATGATGCCAGATTAGGAGGCGAATTAAATGTTGTTGAGATGGAAGTTCCCCAGAAACCAGATACTAATGTTGTAGTGCCCCCTGTTCTCTCTCATGTAAGTTCATCAATGTGGTCATTCTTCTAAAGGGGTTAGGAGAAGTATAATTTGTAAATTGTTGTTATATATACATGTATTGTAAAAATTAATATGGAAAAAATTAAAAAATTTTAAAATTAATTTGTTTGTATTTATGAGGAGTTCTGATTTCTCAATAGTTTGCCCTTTTTGGTATATATACGATGTAGAAACCACTAGCATACTATTATTAGAAGTAGCAGACATTGTACATGTATATGTATATTACAGCAACCATTGATTTCTGTAACAAGTCACCTTTTAGATTATGTTTTATAGAATGCTCGGCCTGTTGAGCAGCAACTGTGTCTCAGGCAAATTCAGCAGGAATCTACAAATGCAGTCCAAAGTGTTGTACAGGAATACAAGGTACAATGGGATATTACAAATACAGTACTCTCTCTCTCTCTCTCTATATATATATATATACATGTATATAGCTAATAAACATGATGGTGGTTAATCAGTGTCAGTCAGTATGATAAAGTGGTTCTTTACATTAAACTCGGTGATTAAAAATGTTTTAATTACGTTTTGAACTGTTTGTAAAGTATATTTGAACTTGTATCAGAATTTCCTTTTCTGCAATTTTTCAAATTTAGACTCACAATGGATGTATATATCAAGTCACATCACTATTATATACATGTAGTTATGAGTGTCATTTGAAGATTTCAGTTTGAGAATACAAAAAGTATGGGGTACTACTTATATAAATTAAAACTTCTCTGAAAGACTACATGTAGTAGAATAATGCTTGCCAATTGCTATATTATGAAATTGACAAGTAAACTGAAGAATATTCCTTTCTTGTCAGACCTTAATGCAATCCAGCTTACAGAATCACGAAGAGTCAGTCAATAGCCTTCTCCAGAAAAACAGCAAAGAGAGACAACTCCAGCTAGAGTTAGCAATAGCTCAACAGGTACTGATAGCATTTATTGTACTGTTTCACAGACCAAAGCATTTATAGGAAAAAAAGAACCATAACAAGAGGGGAAATAAGAGTTAAATTGGGATTTTTTTTTTATTTTCTAGTATATATACATTTCACTGTTAACAGAACTTGAATATTAAATTACATAAAAAGCAAAACATAAGTCTAATGAAAACCCTTATTATCCAGATGGGTGTAATAACTGCTTATTAGTCCCCTACTCATGAAATCAGAGGGGAATTATAGGTTTCCTCATAGTCTGTCTGTCTGTCCTTCCATCTGTCTGATTGTCAGTCTGTCCCATGTGGTTTTCCATGCTTTTATTTCTAAACACTTGCAGATGTTGAGCTGATTTTTGGTATGTGAATGTATGTTGATGAGTTACAAATCAAATCTGCATTTCTTTCCACTTGAGTGATTTTTTGATTGGCCTTTTTGATTTCTTGGGGGGAGCAGATTTCCAAGTTTTTTTCTATTTTCCTAAACAATTGCAGATATTGAGCTGCTCTTTGGAATGTGAGTCTACCTTGATAAGATATACATTAAGTTTGCTTTTTGTTCCGCTGAAATGATTCTTGATGGAATTAAGGCTTTTTCAATTTTTTAGCCGAACCAGATCACACTTGCCGGTAGGGAACTAGTATTGCTTATGCAATATACTAAGAATGCTTGTTTTCTTTTATTTTATCACGTTCATTTACTTGTTGTAGAATAAAGATGTGGAAACTGCTCTACAGGAAATGAGACAAAGCCTCAAAGAAGAATTTGAAAATATTGCTCAAGAATCCATTCAAAATTTTAAGGTGAACAGATTTTGTAGCTTTGTAGTGTTTTGTATAAGGGTGAATTAAAAAAAAAATGACCACCAAACTGAATTTTTTTGGCAAAATTCAAGTACTTATAACATATTTTTCACTTATATCATCATATTGCAAATGCATTCTAGTTTAAAATTCTGAAGTGGCAATAGAATAGACAATTGGATTAAAAAGTTTCAGAATTTTTATTAGTAAAATTTCTTTTGAAAAAAGAAAATATCATTACACCTTAAAAGACTTTCTAAAATACATAATCACAAGAAATTATAGATTTTTATGCTTCAAAATGGTAAAAGGGGTATAAATGATTAAACCTAGACCTTGAATGAGTATCTTCTCTTGTACATGTGACAAAAAATTGGCTTTTTTGATTGTTATTTTACATTATTTTTTCAATTCTGGTTTGAAAAGTTTTAATATGAAAAAAATATGAAGCAATAAAATTCCCCAAAATTCACTTTTTTGTCCGTTCAAGTCAATTCTTTAAATCTAAGCCAAAAAAGAATTGTTATATACAAGTTCTCTCACAAAAAATACTAGATTTTGAAGTGACCCTATATTACATTAGTCATTATTGTGTTGCACTCCTGACAACTGATATGTATTTTATTTAACATTGTTTTAAAAATTATAACACACAATAACCCATTCTTACTTTGTAAATCAATTTGTCGTGTTGATATTTTTCATCGTTTACAACAGGTTTTTCATATTTTGAAGACCTTAAAACATGATTATTTGCAAAGTGTAATATACATAAATTTTATTTAAAATATATGTGAAATGATGAAAACTATTCCCTGAATTGACTGTAAAATTTCTGTAATTTGTTGATAGATGTAGTGTTTTGAACATCAAATAGTATCAAGCATTTTTTTCAACTTATTTTTTAGTAAAGGTAGTTAAAAAACATCGGTAATTATGAAGCAGTTTTGTTGCACTCCTGACTGCAGTAAAGTTTAAAATTAAAACCATAGAACACAAAAATTCATAAAGTGTTGGCAACATCAAGTGGTAATGAAATTGTGCAATACTTATAGTCTGATACTTCATAATTAAAACAGATGAAAGTATTTAAAATTCGCATTTTATCTGGAATTATACCCTATTTTATGCCAAAAAACTAGCTTAAATGTGTATTTAGAAGATAAAATATATTTTAAAGCATATTTTCCTTTAGAGGACAAACACAGTAACCCACCAGAAAAATTCTACTCATCATTTTTTCTTTATTTTTATTCTTATTGGATGATTTATAATTCTAACATATTTGTTGCACTCCTGACCAAAGGCATTGGGGCCTTTAAAGTAGAATTGTGAAGTGAAAATTACATAAGAACTTGTTCTGTTGTTTCAGTGAAGTTGAGGAGGAAATACTTGAATTTAATGACAATGTTTTAGTGTGTTTATTTTTAAAATTCATTAAAAAAAATCACAAATAAGATAAAAACATATCTGAATTGATAAAATTGAAAAAGAAAGAAATTTAATAATAAAACTATCAATAATTTAGCATTAAATTATACAAAAAGATCATTATTAATTAATGAATACCTCTACGCATGAATAGAAGTCTTTTTGACACACAACTTGAATCTTTAAAAAAATGTGTTGCACTCCTGACCATAGAAATATGGATCTGAAGCACAGACAGATCCTGTAATTGATAAATCTATTTGGTAAAAATGTTCTTTGTGTCTTTATTTTCCAAAATAAAAATCAAAAAATCATATAATGATAATAGTTTTTTCATGCTTGGGAGCAAAACATCAAATGTTGCACTCCTGACATTTTTGGGTATGCACCTATACTTGACTCTCATTAATGCTGCTTGTGATTTATATAATATTTTTAAGTTTTAAAATGTATATCAGTTATTATTTTACACTTCCAAAATTCTTTTTTGTCTTAATTTTCTATCAGAATTTTACAATTGATGTTTTTTTGGCAACACTACATTTTTTCTGTTGCACTCCTGACATGGTATAACATTTTTTTAAACATCAACCATGACCACAACTTGATTAAACAAAAGTTATGACAGTCCACATTTAAAGCTCAATACTTTGAATATTATCAGGAAAGTCTTTATTTTCAACATTAAGCATTGTTTTTTATTTCACAGATCTCCAAAAAATATTGAAATTTCAAAATGTCACAAAAAGGTGTTGCACTCCTGACAATTTTAGCATCATTTTTGGGCATAACTTTTTTGTTAATTGAGACATCAATGAGATATTTGGCAGGTATTTAGACACTATCTAAAGACATATGCTGAGACATTTTCATTGCCTGTATTTTTAGTGTGGGTTGACAAATATGCGTTTGGTCATTTTTTTTTAATTCACCCATAACCTACATTTACTGCTTCAGAGTTCAGTTGAAGGAAAAAGACTGTTTCATTTATTGTCCATTGGCAGTCTATGGTTCTGATTTATTCTACAGGATGAAATGAAAGAAACATTAGAAAGGGAGAAGAAACAGATACTGGAAGAAATGCAATTGGATTTACAGGTTAATGATTTACAAGAGGTTATTCCTCTAGGATAGTGTCAAAGAAGCCATTGTATTTGGAATATATGCATTTGAGAAATAAATAATTGTAAAGAATTCTCTCTCAGTGCTGGAAAATGTGTATTGTTTCACTTAGTGTAAGTATAATAACAAAAACATGTTTGAAAAAAGCTTTTTTTATTTCCATTTCTTCCGTACTTGGTCTCCTTACTCAAAAATGTAAAGATACATGTATAGAAAAATAATGGAGTAAATGTGCATAACAGATGAAGTGGAGACAGATATTTGATTCACTGGTATGTAAAACTAAATTATTACAGAAGGAAAAGGATTGCATTAATGATCTTGTACAGGAAGCAGTCACAGCAGAACGGGAACGAGGTGCACAGCAATTGGCAGACCAAAAGGTAAAACCCTCAATTTCAAGAATTTATTTAAGGAAAAATAATATATACATTCACTGATTCTTTTTAACTAGGTGCATGTGAGTTGTAAATATTGGCTAATTCCATACCTAAGTCTTTGATATAATTTATTAGAATTATTCAAGTAAGATGTGTGTTATTTTCTGAATGAATGACTCCCATTTATATACTTGTTTGTATTTAATATATAAGAGAGAAAAATGGTATCTTTCATAAAATTAATCTTATTTGTAATTTGAAAATGTAGTAGAACACCGGAAGATTAATATGATTTCTTTGCAAGAAGGCAGTGTCTAATTGCCTGAGCTTTTGGGGATTATGGGTGTCTCTTTTTCTTCATTGTAAACTTTGTTGTTTTCCTCTATAGAATAAAATACTGATAGGTTTCTCTGTGGTCAAATTAATATTCATTTTGTTAAACCAAGACAGTATGGAGAAATAACATGAATACTGTGAAAGAAGATAGGAAGATTCCTGGTTTGTGACTTTAAAGATAGTAGCAGTTAGTCAAGCGATCTGCTCAATCTCACTAAAATTAAATCCTGCACACTCCCATATTGTATTATGTCACAGCAGCAAAACACAATATGGGTGCATGAAGGATCTAATTTTAATTAGATTTCCAAGCTGCTAGACTAGATATCTAGGTCTATTAAGAGCACTATATGAATTATAAATGCTTGTTATCCCAATGTAGCAGCTAGGTTAGATATAGTTAAAGTTTGTAGCTCGATCTACAAAGAGTTTCATGACCTTGTTATCCCAAAGGAGCAGCTACAAATGTAGGTTACGTATAGTTAAAGTTTGTAGCTCTACATAGAGTTTCATGACCTCTATGATCTTGAACCTAGTCCTGGTGTTTTGTCTTGGTAAATTTACATACATATACATTTCTAACTGTTTTCTCCTTATCATTTCATGACATATTTGTGCGTTATTTAAGATTCTGTGGAAGTATTAAAAGCCTCCTTACCCTAACTAATCCATAACAAATAAGAGCTATCTGAAAATTATTTTGTTTTTCCTTTGGGACTTGTGGTCTTTGAATGTGACTTAACTCTATACAATCAGTATTTGTTGGTTTTATCATTGCAGGATCAGTTCCTCCAGCTTATAGGGGAAGCAAGACAAGAATCTCTCAGCCAAACCCAGAATTTACTGGAGCAAGAAAGGAAACAGTTTCAGGTAGGTACACTTTAGAATTAAAGAAAAAAAAAAAGACTTTAACTATATACATGTATTTTATGATTGTAAGGAGTTATTCAAGAATTAAAGAAAAATACTACAACTTCCTATGTTGGACATATTGCTTCTGTTCAAGATTAATATTTTAAGATGTAGACAAATGCTTGTATTTGATTTTAGTATGTTAGAAACTACTTTTGAGTGGAATAAAGGAGCCTTGAAATGTTGTTATTACAAATGTACTCCTTGTGATCTTTATATGATGTATAAGTAAAAATACTGCTCTGTGACTCTTATTTTAATTTATTTTAATTTATATGTAAATTTCAGGAAAAGCTAAAACAGCATTTGGAGGAAGAGAGGAAATCTCATAAGGAGTCTATGGACCGTGTCATTGAATTTGCCAATCAAGAAATGCGGACATATCTACAGCAGAATCGACAGGTCAGTTTGTCGTGCAGTAGACATCATTCATAACCCTGTCATCTGACACAGGAATTTAAATCTTTCCATGTGAAAAACTATATGTAGGTTAATAGGGATGAAAAAATATTTATGGAGGTTCAAAATCATAGAAGTTTAACAAATAATGATTTCTTTTTCTTCATTGAAGTCATAAATGAAGGAAATTTCAAAGATTAAATGATACTGGAAAGCCAGGCTTATTTTTCAAGAAAAAAATTGTGTACACATTACAGAGATGAATGTATAATCCCTATTTTGCAGGATTACACTATATATTTAAAGTTGTCCAGCTTGAAAATCTTGTACATGTATGTAGTACATGTCATGCAAGAAATTTACAATTCCCTCTTTTCAAATGGTAACATTAGTGTTTGGTTCAAACATTCTTTTTGGGAAAATTGTCGAAAAAATTTGCCTTTTTTTACAAACACTATACAGGAATGTTAGTATATTTTGTAAGTAAAAAAAGAAATGAAATATAATGACAATTGGGTGTATTAATTACAGCATATCAACAGTAGAGCGCCATGTAAGATCGGGAGGTTTATTCATGATTCAATATACAATAATATTAATGTTCATGATTCAATAAAACAGTTGAAATTCTTTATTCTTTTATGTAGATCACCAAAAATAGAATATAAATGACTTCCCAACTTCTATAAAAGCAGTGGGGGAGTCGGCCCACTTTCTTGAATTTCTATTTTTGCATAGAAAAGAATGATGCGGTATTCATTGATTCAGAATCCTTATTCCATTTTTTCCACAACCATGTGAATTCTGTAGATTTTATCTGATGATGAAATTCATTTCAATATAGAAGCACAAGAGGCAATCAGAAGTTAGAAGGTTATTCCCTATTCCCTATTGACTATTCGAATGGCGAACCGGATGCTGCTACCGGTTCCCTATTCAAATTACCGTAAGTGTCCTAATAATTTTTTTTCGAAAAACTTGAATAACTCATTATAATACATGTTAAAGAAGCAAATCAAAGACATCACTTAAAAAGGAAGAATGAGGACCCCAAACCAATGTAGCTAGCCTGACCAAAATGATGACAATGGATAGAAAAGGTAAACCTTGAACCAGGAGCTGGTTAACACCCTGGATCCCATATTTAGACCTTCATCGTTTTACAGGGGAGGGGTCTGGGAGGGACCCCTTGACTGTCAAAAGGAATTGAGTTTACAAGAGCGGTAACCCATTTAGCTAGCCCGGTCAAAATTGGAAAAATCCCGTATAATACAGTTATAAGAGTCCATAGTTCTAGGGGCTGGCTAACACCCTGGATCCCATATTTTGAGCTTCATCGTTTTACAGGGGAAGGGTCTGGGAGGGGCCCCTTGACTGTCAAAAGGAATTGAGTTTACAAGAGCGGTAACCCATTTAGCTAGCCCGGTCAAAATTGGAAAAATCCCGTATAATACAGTTATAAGAGTCCATAGTTCTAGGGGCTGGCTAACATCCTGGATCCCATATTTTGAGCTTCATCTTTTTACAGGGGAAGGGTCTGGGAGGGACCCCTTGACTGTCAAAAGGAATTGAGTTTACAAGAGCGGTAACCCATTTAGCTAGCCCGGTCAAAATTGGAAAAATCCCGTATAATACAGTTATAAGAGTCCATAGTTCTAGGGGCTGGCTAACACCCTGGATCCCATATTTTGAGCTTCATCTTTTTACAGGGGAAGGGTCTGGGAGGGACCCCTTGACTGTCAAAAGGAATTGAGTTTACAAGAGCGGTAACCCATTTAGCTAGCCCGGTCAAAATTGGAAAAATCCCGTATAATACAGTTATAAGAGTCCATAGTTCTAGGGGCTGGCTAACACCCTGGATCCCATATTTTGAGCTTCATCTTTTTACAGGGGAAGGGTCTGGGAGGGACCCCTTGACTGTCAAAAGGAATTGAGTTTACAAGAGCGGTAACCCATTTAGCTAGCCCGGTCAAAATTGGAAAAATCCCGTATAATACAGTTATAAGAGTCCATAGTTCTAGGGGCTGGCTAACACCCTGGATCCCATATTTTGAGCTTCATCTTTTTACAGGGGAAGGGTCTGGGAGGGACCCCTTGACTGTCAAAAGGAATTGAGTTTACAAGAGCGGTAACCCATTTAGCTAGCCCGGTCAAAATTGGAAAAATCCCGTATAATACAGTTATAAGAGTCCATAGTTCTAGGGGCTGGCTAACACCCTGGATCCCATATTTTGAGCTTCATCTTTTTACAGGGGAAGGGTCTGGGAGGGACCCCTTGACTGTCAAAAGGAATTGAGTTTACAAGAGCGGTAACCCATTTAGCTAGCCCGGTCAAAATTGGAAAAATCCCGTATAATACAGTTATAAGAGTCCATAGTTCTAGGGGCTGGCTAACACCCTGGATCCCATATTTTGAGCTTCATCTTTTTACAGGGGAAGGGTCTGGGAGGGACCCCTTGACTGTCAAAAGGAATTGAGTTTACAAGAGCGGTAACCCATTTAGCTAGCCCGGTCAAAATTGGAAAAATCCCGTATAATACAGTTATAAGAGTCCATAGTTCTAGGGGCTGGCTAACACCCTGGATCCCATATTTTGAGCTTCATCTTTTTACAGGGGAAGGGTCTGGGAGGGACCCCTTGACTGTCAAAAGGAATTGAGTTTACAAGAGCGGTAACCCATTTAGCTAGCCCGGTCAAAATTGGATAAATCCCGTATAATACAGTTATAAGAGTCCATAGTTCTAGGGGCTGGCTAACACCCTGGATCCCATATTTTGAGCTTCATCTTTTTACAGGGGAAGGGTCTGGGAGGGACCCCTTGACTGTCAAAAGGAATTGAGTTTACAAGAGCGGTAACCCATTTAGCTAGCCCGGTCAAAATTGGAAAAATCCCGTATAATACAGTTATAAGAGTCCATAGTTCTAGGGGCTGGCTAACACCCTGGATCCCATATTTTGAGCTTCATCTTTTTACAGGGGAAGGGTCTGGGAGGGACCCCTTGACTGTCAAAAGGAATTGAGTTTACAAGAGCGGTAACTCATTTAGCTAGCCTGGTCAAAATTGGAAAAATCCCGTATAATACAGTTATAAGAGTCCATAGTTCTAGGGGCTGGCTAACACCCTGGATCCCATATTTTGAGCTTCATCTTTTTACAGGGGAAGGGTCTGGGAGGGACCCCTTGACTGTCAAAAGGAATTGAGTTTACAAGAGCGGTAACCCATTTAGCTAGCCCGGTCAAAATTGGAAAAATCCCGTATAATACTTTCTTAGTTTAAGTTTTTGAATAAACATCGGGTTCGGAAAGACTGAAATCAAAATACACGTGGGCATTATAGACAGAAGCCTCCTTGCATCCTTCTAATTACGCTTCATGAATTTTGAATTTGCGATAAATATGCAACCTGTAAATTGTTACAGACGTATTTTCTTTCGTCTATGTATTTAAAGAAACACTGCACAAACAAAGACAATGACAGAAAACAGAAACTTCATTTTTGAGTAGCACTATCTGCGTGGTCAATGAATGAACTCCTGTGAACCCGTCTCAACCGAAAGAACTACGCACGCTAACCCCCGATTTTCGCCTATACTTTACACCCATTTAAATTAATATTAATGACAATTATGTCCTTAAAAAAATTTCCAATGCAAAAATTAATTTAATAGTAATTGATCAATAGATTTAACACCAGTGCCAAATAGTTTATCACTGTTAATGACAGGGCTTTTTAGAGGTTTCTTTTTTGGGGGGGGGGGGGTAAACAATGATATCCATTGAGGCTCTAAACCTCACCGGGCTTTTAAATACTCATGGATATGGATAAATGTCCTTTTAATCTTTCCGTGTATTATGTTTAACTCACGTATAATCAAACATATGAGGTTGATAAAACACCATTTTTAGATGTAAACGTTTTTGAAATTGGTGATAACGTGAACAAATTTGCAATAAACATATGTTCCCCGTGAAACAACAAAGAATATGGTATTTTTGTTTTTCGGGAAAGGGGGAATGTCCTTTCAAAATATTTTCCTTTTAATTTCTGTGGATTTCTAATGTGAAAAAAAGTTTTACTAAAATTATAAACTTCTTTCTGTATTACATGTAAGTGTCGAAATAAATTGTGATTTGTAAAAATTCATACAAATATTTACGTAAGTATGAAAAATCATTCACGTATGTTTACTTCTGAAAATGGACTTGTAGTTATGTGGCAGAACAATATTTTCGTTCGCAGTTCTTTGAATATTCCTGCAACTTTCTATTTTAAAATAAATTCAGAAGGAAAAAAAAATCCGAATTGCCTTGAAGACCTATCCATTTGATGTCCATTAAATGTACGTAATTACAAATTTGGGTTGTATGGGTTATTTAAAGTGAAGATTCCAAATTTAAGGCAAATCCTGCAATTTCAAAAAAAAGGGGGGGGGGGGCAAAAATATTTTTGAAGCGTAGTAGATCATATCCAATATTTTTTTTATTTAAATAGACAAGTGTATTATTCAATACTGTGTATTATTCAATACAAGATGTTCCTTTGATATCTAATATTTTAACTCGACAAAGCTTATAAACCTTTTTAAACGCATGTTTTTTCTTATACGATGACAGATATTTAACATGATCATATTCGAAAAAATGCACAGAACTTCTAGGCCATTAAATTCCCTCCAAGAATTTTCTTACGTCATGCTCTCAAAATCGTTGTGAAATATAATCAAAAAATTAAACAAGTCTAATTATTTTCCAGTTTATTTCTACTTATATTAAGCGGCAATGCCTTACTTTAGCGCATCATTGCGGTTTTATTAATTGCGTTATTAATTATAAATTATCTTCATTTCTTAAAAAAGACTTATAACATATATCTATCTGTATCATTTAATCAAGTAGTGTGTAACAAGTAATTAATTTCAATACTTTTATCAATTATTACATTTCAGATAAAGAAAATCATTATCAATAAGTGAAGTCAGTGCATTTTGTTCAAAATTTTAACC